ATCGTTGCCGGTGGTTTTATTCACTAGGCCAAATGTTACAATTTAAGCTATTCATTCATGGTAGTGACAGGTATGAGATACTTGCCAAGCAGACGCTTTTACTATGGTGTGACCGTGTACTGTGTACCTGTACGTTTTGCGCGGTTTATTAAATATGACGGAGCGCAACCCACAAGTTCCAAGTGCCGGAATGATGGTCTCGTTTCATAACTCCGTATTGAATTCTCAAGCACACGAAAATGCCCACAAAGACTTGCCATTGGATGCAAAAAAAGAAGAGCAAAAGCAGGCATAAATAAATCCATTGCAAACGGTGTGAATGAAATTTTGCACTGATTAATGATGAAATAATACCTAACTTTCCAGAAATTCTTCAGACGTAGTATGGTGGCCAGCGTAAATTACAAGTACCGAACCATACGTTTCTGTCAGCCAGTCAGCGAAACCAGCAAAACCGTGCTTGCCTTTCCCTTGCTGTGGCCCCCTCTCTTTGCTACTACTACGGCCCTCCCCCCTCTACTCTTCTCTTCTCTTACTATCTTCCTACACTACCAACTCCCCATACAAACTCCCTCCCATACAAAAAAGGTACTGCATATCAACCCCCGAGTTCTATAAATCAACACATCTGAATCACATTTCCTCCACCACCACCACACTTCTGTTTTTTTCCAGTTCCTTTGGTCCTTGGAATCCTTTATTTTCACCTCATTGCCTGTCTTTTTTTTTCCAATTTGCGCCGACTTGCGGTCGCGCGCTGCATCCTGATCTATGTTTTTGTCCCCCGAACTAACTTGAAAACCCACAGTTCAATTTTTTTTTTCAACATATTCTAATTTGTGGTCGTCGAATCCATGTGAGTCGATCTTATACCTATCATCTCGAAGCTCTGTTTTCCCTCGGTCGCAAGTGGTTGAGTTGCGCGCAACGCGTCTAGCAAACACTCGCGTCCACGCTTCTTCTTCTTCTTCTCTCACCTCCACTCCGATTCCTTTCAGTACTATGTCAATTGCGCATAAAACCCTTTAATTGACTTAATTGCAAATTTTGTTTCTCCCGCAATACATTTTCATGGCAAAAAAAACCTCGGAATTCACCTCTAACTTTCAACAGTCATCATGCCTAAGGAAAGCACCACCAAATCTACCCGCAAGGCCCCCGAGAAGCGCGTTCAGCGCCGCAAGAAGGGTAAGTCAAGTCTCAAATTGATTTCCACCAGCTTTGTGCTAATTTACTTGCTAGACCCCAACGCGCCAAAGCGCGGTCTGTCCGCCTACATGTTCTTTGCCAATGACAACCGCGACAAGGTTCGCGAGGAAAACCCCGGCATCAGCTTCGGTCAGTGAACTCCCTACCTAGCTTCGGTGTACGTATCTAACACCCCTACAGGCCAGGTTGGTAAGCAGCTCGGTGACAAGTGGAAGGCTCTGAGTGAGACCGACCGCAAGCCTTACGACGCCAAGGCTGCCGCTGACAAGAAGCGCTACGAGGAGGAGAAGGCCGCCTACCTCGCTAAGGCTGAGGAGGAGGAAGAGGAGGAGTCCTCTTAAATGCCCTCTAGCTTCACTTCGTCTTTTGCCTCTGGGCGTTTGTGTTTCTCTAATGGTTCTCCTGATTTTTTTTTCGGTCGGTTTCGTGCACGGTTTCTGGGTTTGGAGGACGGCTGGGGTTTACTTGCTTCTGAACTGTTCCTCTTTGCTCTTATCGAGGGTATCAAGTTATCAAAGGGAAATCTCAACCTTTTTCTAACAGAGCGCCAAGGATACTTCCAAGTAGCTTTAGATGATCGTAAGAACAGCGTACAAGTGCCGGCATGCTCGCTTGCATTGTGAGGATGATGTAAAAATAAGCTTCAGTCTGTTGTGCAAGGGGGTTTCTCTGCCGTTTTCAGATTGACCTTACTTCGGCTCTGGTTTGTGGTTGGTGAGCTTCGGGGAAGCTTCGGGAGCTTGCTGAGCTTTTTTGCCCCCACAAAATCGGGCGGGGCTCACCGCCTGCGTCATTCACCGCCCTAGTAATCCGGGGTCGAAGCTCGAAGCTTAACCTTTTGAGTTTGTTTCAAATGTTGTGCGAATCTTCCAACCTCCGTTGCTTCGCCCACTAACCGCTGATTTCTTTACCAGATAAACCCAAACTAGATCAAAGTCGAAGTCAAACAAAAGTCAGCAAAAAAGCCATCGCTACTAATCACAAATCGTCATCGAAGACTACGATGTACAAGGACCCTACAGCTATCTGGAGCACGGGGTTCGTGAAACCCCGATCCTAAACCCTTGAGGCTCGCTCCAGAGGTGTGAATATGAGCGCTGGTAAGCTGTGGAGATGGCTGGGATTAGCTATATATCCTTAGGGTTAGTGCGAGTGGACGCGGGGCATGCTTATGCAATTTAGGTGGGGTTACGACGACGCGACTGCGATCTGACACGGTGCGATGATACGCGGGGGTATGACGATACGATACAGGCACGGTGACATGCAAAGTGATGATTATACGAGACAATTCCAATTAGGGCTCGCGATGAGACAGGAAGGCAGCAGAGCGACAATACGATGATACGGTTTTGCCATAACACCGACCCTGGGGGCTCAAGGGGGTGGTTCGTTACTATCGGGGCAATCACCGGGCCAGTTATATGGGAGCCTTGAAGTCGGTAAACGCCAGTGGGCAGACAAGATTGAACAGTTTCTTTGCAGAAGATTTGTGGACATCAGACATCAAACCCAACGTTCTGTTACGCGTGCCGACAATTGTCTAAGCAAAAGGCGAATAGTTATCCTTAAACCTGATGTGCCCCGGTATATCGATGCCCTCTTGGGAATGCATTTACTCAATTTCTATCTGCACCATTTACTTTATCTAGGGTTCCATGATGCGTTGGTGGCTTTCGTTGAACCCCTGAACGAAGACCAGCCATCGCGGCGGTCCGGCTTACATCTATAGTGATTAGGTGAGTATGTATGCACTTGCAAATGGGGATTCCGTTGGACTTGTTAAATATGTACGCGCAAGCATTGTCTATTTGCAGTAATCCCAACCATCTTCTGCCGGCCTAACAGAGAGGCACACAGAATTGTATAGCCGGATCGGAATATCTAATAGTGGTGTTTGTTTTATGGCCCTGTTGTGTTAATCAGGGCTACCACGACTACGGTCGAATCATTTCCACGGCGTAGTTGTGCGTGGCGCCTAAAACTCATAAAGACAGAATTTTCCCAAGTCGAATACCCTTCCTGTGACTGTGGAGTATATGACTTTGTCTCCACGCGTAATAAACGATCATGTAGTTGATTTATTGGAATTCACGTTAGACTTGTCTTTCTCTATGTGTTTGCTACTCATCAAGTCCTAGTGGTTTTGTAGCTATAGTGAGTAACTCGGACAACTCTGTTCAATGTTGCAGATGATCCTAGTGTAAACTTAAAAAAAAAGAAATTCCGAAGAGCATGTGCAAATCAACAACGTTGGTATATGATCTCCAGAGTACTCGATTTTACAATATCTCCTTCATAGTTTTCTCGACTTTGTATTGTATAATTTTCACACGGAAGCGACCAGATCCAGGAACCAAGAGCTTTTCTTCAGCTCTGTACTTTCAACACTGTGCTCCCTGTACTTTTATCCCAAGACGCTATATCCTATTGGTCTAAGGGAAGAAGAGCATACCTAGGGGCTGTTCTCCACATTTAGGGCTGGAAAATACCCTATGAACCATGGAATTTGAGTCAACCAACCAAAGTTTATGAGCTTATAAGGTATATTCATGGTTATCCCCGCTCTACATCAAGCGGTCCACGATTGAGAACAGAGAACGGACCGAAGATGAAGAAACGAGGACTCCACTAAAAGCCCCGCCATTCGCGCGTGAACACATCAAGGGAGAACCCTGCCCAGAGAGCCGCATGGGCCAAATCATTTCCCACTTGTTGTCTTTGTTAAATAATCTTAATTGTTCACATGTGCGCCTATTGGTCTATTTGGTTCCTCAATTTTTCCGAGCCCCCTCTCCCTTTAAAGAGCCCTCCCCACCATTACCCTCCCCCCTCCCAAAAAAAATTAGAAACTCCCCTCAAAACCTGTGGCCTGACCCTTTGGGCTATAATATGGCTCAAGCTCTGCGCGCATCTCGTCAGAGTGCCGACGACTTGGCTGTTGGCTTTTTTGCATTCCGAGACCCTCTCCCAGAACATGTGGGCGAGATCGCATCGCTCATGTCCGAGTTATACGCAATCAGCTCAACATTAACCACCTTGGAGCGTCTAGCGGAAGATCCCCGAAATCGCCGTTATTTTGAAATGATAAAATCCGATTTGAATGTGGTGCAAGCCAGTTTCACATATACAGTTGAGGACATCGGCGATTTTTTCAGGGATCTCGATGACCCAGATGCTGGTCAAGCCAGATACAAGCGCACATGGATAATTATGAGCCGATTCTTTTGGGATCAATCAAACTACACCCTGGCTATCCGGCTAGCCAAGTATAAGACGGTCTTTCAAGAGTTCAATGACTTGGTAAGAGAGTAGGTGCTCCGCCATAAAGAAGAAACAAGTAGAAAAGGCGCATGTGCGTGTACTTATTCCTGGTCTTTGTTAGGGGTCACTACACCTCCTCGATTCTCGTGGACCTCATCAGTGGCTTCAAGACTTTACTCTCCTCACAAGATAGCCGGTTTGCTGCTCGCTTTGAAGGCATGACGCTCCGCCCAAATGACTCGCCTACCAGCAACCGCGCGAGTCCCCCGAGCCCGGTTAGGGGCCGCCCACTGAGAGAGTGCTTAGTAAGGGACCACTCAGCGAGAGACCATTCAGCGAGAAACCACCCAGCGAGAGACCACCCAGCGAGAGACCACCCAGCGAAAGACCACCCAGCGAGAGACCATCCAGCGAGAGACCACCCAGCGAGAGACCACCCAGCGAGAGACCACCCAGCGAGAGACCACCCAGCGAGAGACCAAAACACGCGACGGCAGAGGTCATATGAGCGTACTCGACCGCCGCATATGTCTCCTCCGCCGATGTCGTCTTCCTCTACCACTTCTTCGGATATCCCGCCGTCTGTACCGGATATCCCACTCTCGCCGCTTACTTCTGCATCTGCAACGACAGCTACTAGCCAGTCGACTGAACCCGATATTATCAAAGAACACTGGGCCAAGGATACATTCGGCTCTAGTAGCACCAGCACTCCTCTGCCATCAGTTAGAGAAAAGTGAGCTGTAGATAATAAGTTTTACTTCTCAGGATTTTACTAACATATTTGGTGATAGGTCACACTGCCGCGGTGAACCTCATCCAGGCATCAAACAATCAATCAAAGACAAGGGCTTCGAGGAGCTTCTCCAACTGCAAGTCAAAATTGTTCACTTCGTTTGAGCATGCATTTTAACCCAGTATAGATCTCTGAACGATGAGTCTGAAATGCGCGTATCCTTTTACCTAAGGAGAACAGACCGCCGCGTCCGCATCCTGTGCAAGGAGCCCCACCGGACGCGGCCTAGTGACTACCACTGCTTGCCGCTTAACTTACTCGAGGTCTTGCGAGATGGCTCTTGTCTCCGACTATGTAGGCGGCGGAATCGTGGGACAGAGCTTGTTTTATGGACGCAATTGAAGTTCACCACATTGGAAGGTCAGGAGTGTCAATTTGAAAGCTCTGCCGTGGCTGTTGAAGTGACAACGCTCACACTTTTATCCGACAGATCTGGTACTATTCCATAACACATTTCTTGCCTTGCGCTCCCAGGATGAAGGCCACCCCATCGAGGAAATTCTAGACCATGAGCTGGCACACGAACAAGAATGCTTTGGAGGGTGAGCAATCCATACCAAGAACAACGAACTGCACAGAGGCTGATGTTTGCTAGAACAATCACCGACGACGACTACGTGCACGCGTTGCGCGTATATAAAGATACGGTGACTGGAGCTGTTAGACTACAGGCGTCAGTCTACCTAGGCGATATGAACCAGTATGTCAAATGTCGGACTGTGTGAATTACATTAAAAAATTCTAATAACAACGAACGCAGCACACCGGTCTGGACTGCGTTCGTTACCCACAACCTCGGGAAACGCAAATGGCTGAAGTTATACGATTCCAAAACGGTGATAATGCGTGATACCAAGCCTGTGGTATTTATATCTATGGATGAGTATACTCCTCTGCAGACGTCACAGGGACACCATGTCTTGGAGTTCACAAGCTCGTCTGGTGAGTGGTCCTGAAGTGATCCCCATCTCGAGGATTGTTGACTGATTGAATTTTGATTTAGATGCCAAGGAGTTCTTGGACGTTATGGATGAATTGGGCGATTGAGGTATTTGGTGAAACCCACAGTTTAGAATTGGAATCTCTGCTCTGACATGATGAGTTATGAGTTATGTCGATATGAATGCGATAATTCAAGATTTCAAAAGCCGTGCACTCCTCGCTAGTAGTTCCGATTTCTAGTTTGGTCCTTCTTGGGACTTTCTATTTCGTACTACAGCTTCAGGTTTTTCGTTGTCATGGTAGCCCTACCACTGGATATGCTGCACAATGCGCTTGACATAACAAGCTAAAGCGCCCTACCTTCTGAGGTCCTCGAATCCATTGGAAGATACAAACACAGACCATGTAGGTCCAATCAAATCCATTTTCGGAAATAATAGCGCAAGCTAACTAATGAGGGGTATCATACATAAACAAAAGAGGCCATGGATTAGGAAGCCGTTAGCACACTGCCAATCAAAGCGTGGGAAAATGCGATGGACAGATGAGGTATCACTTGGCCACCGCGAAACACGATGAAACAAACTTAGGAAGTGTCCTTGTCCTTGTCCTTTGCAGCGTCAGTGATATCGTCTGGGTCGGGATAAACCATCACCATGTAGCGGCGCCACAGTGGGCATTTAGTTCGGTCATACGGGGTGTCTGACTCAGGGTACAACCATTTTGTGGGGGATGGTTTAGGTGGAGGCGTAGTTTGTGGCTTAGGTGGGTTGCGTTCGGCTTCAAGATCCTCCAGACGCCATCTCTCCTTCCTCTCCTCGTTAAGTCTCTTCATTTCTTTGAGTCGCCACTCTATATGAGCCTTGCGTTCGGCTATCCGTTCCTCGTCCGTTTTCCGCTTGAACAAGGTCCCTTCTCGCAGAATCTGGAGTTCCTCCATCTGCTGCTTGCGCTCCTCCTCGTCGGTAGAAAAGTTATAGAATCCAGTTCCACGATTGCGAATCTCTGCTTCGGCATCGTAATGCTTCTTCTCTGGCGGGGTAGGCGAGCGGTCACGACGAGCAGCGAGATGGGACATGTGTGACGCAATGTTGGCATCGGGATTGAAGGCTTCAGTCTGAACAACCTCTCCGTAAATCAAATTTTCAGGGCGAGTAGGGCGCCAGCGTTCCTGTGAAGCTCTGCCACCTGCTTCTTCATCCTTGGCGCGAGCGGCTTCGGCGGCTTCGGCGCGAGTGCCACGGCGAGAACGGCCAAGATCGTCTTCGTAGGAAATTATCGATGCATTATCGTTATCGGATTCTTCTTGCTTGAGAGGCTCCTCGTTTGAATGCTTGAGATCGAAATCTACCAATACCTCTTTCTCCTTGCGTCGTAGTCGGGCCAGGTAGGCGTCCGGGTCGGATGGATCCACTGGCATGTCATCATCATCACTATCACCGGTAAAGTGCAGTCCCTTCTTCATATCATCGTAAAGGCGCACTTTTTCCTGCATGCGGCGTCGAGACCGAGCCAGTGTATTGGCGTCGACGGAGCCTATGTCCTGGGTACTCCTGTGGACTTGCTTGACGGCCCTGTTGTCATCTGCGAGATCGGCAGCTGCGCGCTTCTGAGTGCCTTTGTTGTGCTTAGAGAATATATCTGACTTCGGATTCTTGGAGGGACGCTGGCGCCCACGCGACGGAGCGGAGGTCGCATTTTGTGCAATGAGTGAAGAGAGCTGAGAGGTAAAGGCGAGGCTTGAGCTGGTTTGCTCAGTTTTGTTCTTTTTTGAACGGGGTTGCCCGTAGAGTGAATCTTGATCAGCAGGCATAATACTGTGAATGGTACGTGCGTAATGTCAAGAAGTTGCAAGTTTCACGGATGTTCCACGTCTCACAATTCCCAGGTGCCACTGGAGGCTTATCGTGAGGTAAGAATCGATAAGCCCGGTGGCGTAGCCTACACCGCTAACCTTAGGATCTCTCTTTCTGCCGGCACTTGATGACTAAGACCGATGGTCGGGGCAGCCCCGCACCCCCACTGCTCAGGTGAATAGATCGCGCCGTGACTCAATTGATCGATTCTTTAGTTTTGATCAGAAATTGAACTCTTGTTTGGGAATCAAAAAGTCAAATCGATCAATACAATCAAGACACAAATCTTCCAATCTGCATTATGTCGGCTAGCCCTATCTACCTTGGTGTCATCGGTAATTTCCTCCCACTCCTGAGCTTTGAATTCTGAATTACGTGAGCTAACGTTTTGATGAATTAGGTGTCGGAGGCGTTGGTACTGCCTTCCTCCAACAGCTTGCCCGTCTTCCCAATGCGCCCAAGCTTGTTGTCCTAGCCCGCTCCTCCCAGACCCTCCTTGCCCCGACTCCCGCCTATTCACCAGCCATCCCCGCCGCTGACTGGGCCACAGCTGCTGCTACACCATCTCTGACCAAGAGCGGTGCCCTCCAGGCCGAAGAGATTGCCACATACCTTGCCTCAGCTCCTGGCCGAGCCATTTTGGTCGATAACACCTCCGACATCAGCCTCGCCCGGCAGTACCCTACATTCCTCAAGAAGGGCATCTCAGTCGTGACGCCCAACAAGAAGGGATTCTCCGATGATCTGTCCCTGTGGAAGGATATATTTGCCTCTGCAGCTGAGGGCAAGGCCCTCGTGTACCACGAGAGCACTGTGGGCGCTGGCTTGCCCGTGTTGTCCACCTTGAAGGACCTGGTGGCCACCGGTGACGAGGTCACCCGCATTGAGGGTGTGTTCTCCGGCACTCTTTCCTTCCTCTTCAACACCTTCGCTCCTGCCTCAGGCTCTTCCAATGCGCAGTGGAGCGCCGTCGTCGCCCAGGCCAAGGAGCTTGGCTACACCGAGCCGGATCCTCGTGATGACCTGAACGGTATGGACGTTGCGCGCAAGCTGACCATCTTGGCCCGTATTGCCGGTCTGGAGGTTTCCCGCCCCGACTCTTTCCCTGTTGAGTCGCTGATCCCCGCTGAGCTCGAATCTCTGCCTTCGTCCGCGGACGGCATTACCCAGTTCATGACCCGTCTCCCTGAGTTCGATGCCCAGATGGCCAACATCAAGGACACTGCTGAGAAGCAGGGCAAGGTTGTGCGCTACGTTGGTAGTATTGATGTTGCCTCTAAGGCCGTCAAGGTCGGTCTGCAGTACTTCGATAAGGACAGCGCTATCGCTGGTCTGAAGGGCAGTGACAACATCATCAGCTTCTACACCAAGCGCTACGGTGCCAACCCCCTGATTGTTCAAGGTGCCGGTGCCGGTGGTGATGTGACCGCTATGGGTGTTTCGGCTGATCTTATCAAGGTTGTCGAGCGCCTGCGCTAAATGGCTGAGATTTGGAGGCTAACAAAGATAACATCCAAAATTTGACGGTGCATATAAAAGAAACACCCTTCCTTAGATAGAGGCCTTGTGTCATATCTGCCATGTTGTTCGAACCCTTTTCACATAGCCCTGAAATCTGCAGGGACCTAGGCCCTTAGGAAGTCTTTCAATGCTTCTCCCCAGACATCTCCCTTCTTATAACCATGCATTTCTGGCACATTCCCCCTCCTCAAGCCATCTATCGCATTTGCAAGGTCCTCACCGGAACCCTCCTCCTTAATCTGCCTAACCGGATAAACATAGGTGTGGATAGCAAAGACAAGAGCCTTGGATACCGGCAACCGATGCAATGTCTGACGCTCACATCGCAGAACAGTCTTTAGTGGTATCAGCGCTTTCCCCTCGTCACGAAATTCCTCGTAGCCAACATACCTGATCAATATTTAATTTCCCGAGATCAATAGTCTCCTCCTTTTTCCCCACCACAGCATGTGTCCCACTATAAGCAGCAAACAGCCCCGTGTTTATGGTGATACTCCAATTGACCCGTTTCACAAACTTCCCAACCCGAATGCGCGCAAAGAACCTATCCATGCTGCGCCCAATCTTCTCCTGGTAACGCGGGACCGGAACATGAATATCCACTAAACGCAAGCCGAGTTTCTTGCGCGTGTTGAAGCCAGCCGGGAAACAGACCGCATATGCCTGTAGCACATAATTTGGCTGTTCTTCGGCATCGGATAAAAGCTCAGGGAGTAGGATCAGGAAGTCCTCATCTACTGTCTGGGACAAGATCTTCAGGGCTTGGATTGCTGGCGTCGTTGGTGATAGGGTAGTTGGCCAGGTTGCGCCTGTTACCAGGTTTTGGAAGAGCGATCTTTCGGCGTTTAGCTGGAACATGCTCGGGTATCGAGTTGGTAGGTATGTTCCCAGCACAAAATTGTATAGTTCGCTGATGGCGAGGCGAATACGAGGGTCCTCCTTTGGGGTTTGATCATTGTTGATTGCTACCACGACGTCGTGGTGCTGGTCGAGTATGGACTTGCGGAGTGCGAGTCGGTTCTTATAGGTTTTGTCCATCGGGATGAGCTCTGACGGTTCAAGGTTCTCCAGGGCTAAGATGTGTTAGTCTGGATAGGTGTGAGATGTTGCATTATAGCTCTGTGTCTGACTGGATGAGGAGTGACTTGCCCATGGTCAAGTTATATTTATCTTTTCCCTTGAATGGCCGAAACTGCAATGGCTCGGTCTTCTCCCAATTGAATCCCTCTAGAGGTATGATGGGGAATGTCTGATTGTCCGAGTAAGTTGTCTTCGTCCTCCCGTTTGCTGTGGCCGTGCGAAACTGTAAGATCCTCCCTATGGCAGCACACAGGCCCACGATAAGAAGACAGAGCAGATATCTGGAAGATCTATTCCATGATACATCAACATCTTTGTATAGAGCTTCTACCATCCTGCACAAATCACTACGGAGCAGATCTGCTGTTGAAGTTTGCAACCCCTGCTCAACGGAGACTTTTGCGCTCAGAATAACCACCTACTCCGCATGAACTCTACACGAAAAAGTGAAGTTTGTCTTGGGGACTTGTGTTAGAGCTTATCTCTCTCTACTTTGACTGGCTGAACGGTCCGTCCATGACTCACAAGGCCGAGATCGTCCTGCGGGGTTAGGACCTTGAGATAAGATCGATAGGCGAATCACTCCTGACTACGGATTTTAGATCAAAGATCACACTCTGCTAGTATCGGATCGTCTTCGTTGTGATATAAGTCATGTACATGCAACCTTGAAGGGCTCACAGTGTTACACAACGCTGAGACTCGAGAGCGAAAGAAATGCATGCTTGCTTACATAGTCAACCCGATCGAGACCACAGACGAAAGACAAAACAACGCAAGATCAGAAACATCACCGGTTCTCAGAAGGAAGGAGTCCTGATGAAATCTGCCCCGGGCTCCTTTGTTTCAAGATCCCATCTCCACTCACATGTGGATTCAATGTTTGGGCAACAGGGCTCACGTTCTCCTTCCCAGAGTCATCACGATCTCTCTCCCTCTTCGGCCCCGGATGATCATCTCGGTCTCCACTCTCGCTGTTACCGGTATCTGTTTCCATGCCGCACAGTCCAAAGGCCCTCCGTTGCCCGCCCGGACGTTCATTCAAGCTCGGCGCGCGAGGACGCTGTCGACCACGTGCTCGTCCACCAAGCCAGGGAATCTCCCAGAGGATCAGTCGATATACCCAGAGGGATGCGTCTAGAAATATGAGGAAAGCCCAGGGGCCAATGGTGATGAGACCGAGGAAGAACTGTAGAATCCGGGGTAGATCAGCGACTGCGTCATAGAGAAGGGACCAAGGGCTACAGTCGGTGAAAAAGGGGGGAAACTCACGAAGATGCGAGCTGCCCAGCTTTCGAGGTGGGTAAGCTCTGGTGGAAGGATAGAGTACCACGCCATTTTGGGGTGGATTTAGTGTGCTGGTGAGCCTCGGAAGGTTACGGTTGCTGGTGGGTTAGAGCTGTGTCAGTGCTTTGGCGCGCTGCAACTCGGTCCACCCTTGCTGATAGCTCCGTTCTCACGGTTGCTTCATTTTTTTAGGGTTAGTTGAACACTTTGATTCTCAGCTAGTAACTGAGGTGTAGAGAACCAAAACTGCACTAGTTCAGCCTGGATTCCGCGGTTAATGTACTTCGGACGGATTGGCTGGACCCTGGGTGCTCACGTGATTATGGTGGCCTAATCTTTCAGGGGTCTAATACACCTCATGAACCACAACCACATGTCTTCGTCTCAGCTTCCTCTGGTTTTTTTTTCCCGGGAATTAATCGGCTCATTTTGGATTAACCGGTCAGCTAATAGAATACGGTCGGACAAGTGTGCTCTAGATACACTGTACTCTTCCCGGGCGATAGCTGACTAAGTATCCTGGTTAGTATGTTAATCGTGGCTTCTACAATCCCGGTATTCGGACGCCAGTGCTAAATTTTCCGGGGAGTACGGATACCGTCGCGGGCGAGAGTGCGTCGATGAGGTTGGTGAAAAGCTGTGAGGAGTTCAGGGATGAAAAGAAACAGGTCGTTGTATGGTATTCGGGTAAATATGTGGTCCCAGGTGGAAAGCGAGAATTCGCTGCGGGTGCACATTTCATCAAGTTCAACGGGAGCCGAGCAAACACCATAATTCGAAAATCTTTCTATTAAATAGGAAAAAATGGCAGTCTCGTACAAATACTTGCTGCACCATGTCCAAGGGTACCATTGAGTGAAGAGCTGGACCAGTAATCAAGAACTATCGGTGGCAAAGTTCGATGCCTTGGCATTTAATATGTCGAATTCATATGTACATGGTAATTTCAAAGACATGGCTTTAACCATGTCTTTGAGCATACAAAAGATTTAATCGTGACCTTCGTGTTTAAAAATGACGCTGAATACCCCCCCAAGAAATGTTGTTCACCAGGCGGAATACACCAGGCGGAATACAAAATGGCTATACAAATGCAGACGCTTGGCCATCAGGCCTAATATGAGCGAGTTACAGCTTACCGCTGCGAACGGTAAGCGTCGTAGGAGGTGTACGAGGGCTCGTCGTCCTGGTCAACAGGTCCATACCCACCACTCCGCCAGCGACCGAGCGGATTCGTGATATCCGTCTGCGCGGGAGCCTGTGCATGACTGAGTAGTCTTGATTCCGCCTCGTCGGCATTTGAATATGCTCCAGAGGGGTCACATTCGCCCCGCGATAGCGGCACATGGAAGGCCGGGTGGGCCAGTCCAGTCGGATCCAAATGGTCGTAGCCATTATACATGTTAAGCGATGGCATTGATGATACAGAGGGTGCCGGTGATGAGGCACGGGAGGAGCCGGGAGACCACTCGCCTCTTAGATTGCTGCGGGGTGTGTGCGAGCGCTCTGTCATCTGGTCATCGGGTCGGCCGTAGATACCGCCTCCAAAATCGTCTCGGAAGTCTGCTCGATCCTTGTAATACGAGAAGTCGAGATGGTTCTCCGGGACAACCTCGAAGGGTGCGGGTTCGGCAGACTTGCCGGGCTGGGATGCGAGCATTGAGTTCATTGCAATGTCTGAGTACTCGCCGTCCGTTTCTCCCTGGTCCAGACGACCCTGATAGATTTCCTTTAGTGCCGCGGCTGCCTTGGCGTGCACCATAGGTGTCAAAAGTGGTTTGTACAGGGCAGGGTGTCCGAACTTGGTGTTCAAACGGTCTGATGCTTTCTTATCGGCCGGGTTCACGCCCAAGGCCTCGAAATCGTTCAGGTTTGCACGATTGTAGAACTCGCAATCGGAGTCGAACTTCTTCATGCAATAGATTTTGAACCCAATCATCAAGAAAGGCAGGGGTGCCACGCAGAACACCATGTCCCACGTGCCGCTCGACTTGGCAACAAGAGCGATGATCACGTTGGAAAGAATACTGGCGAAGATCAAGCGATTGAATAAAACTCGCCAGAACGCACCACCAGACTCATTCTTAGTCACAAACACGTACATCAATAGATACTTCTTTAACATGGCATCCACCCCAAAATAAAACGCCGTCACCGGCAGTACAATGGGTTGCAAGGTAGCGAAACAGAAAGCCACGGTGGCATAGAAGAGGAAGTAGTTATAGTAACTGGCGTAGTCGAACGGTGGTGGTGCGGTCCATTCAATTGCCTGTCGGGGTGTGGGTGAGAGTAATGTCTTGGAAAACCAGACCCAAAAAATGGTAACCAGCTGCACAAGATCAAGGGCAGCGCCAAGATTGCGCTGCAAAAGATACGTCACCCAAAAAGGCGATACGGTGCATAGTGCGCTTACCAACTTGGCATACATCCGGCTTTCCAGGATGGCTTGCCAAGCACCTTCGTGGTCGTGGGTTCTGTCAACCACGAATGACACGAAGTACCAAGCTGCCGAAAAAAACGAAAAGACGATCAGATTGTTGAAAACGAAGAAGGCGTACAGATGCCCCAGCACATGGCGCTCTCGAGATGTTTTAGTCTTGCTGCCACCTTGGACAGATAGTCGACGGAAGATGACCGGGAGAGCCAGATACACGAGCGAAGTCAGTGCGGGCGATGCAATACCCTGGACAGCAGCCCAAACCGTTGGGTTCCTTGCCAGCGAAGTCTGGAACGCCGGCCATACCAAACCCAGATTTGACAGGTTGGACAAGAAAATGGCAATCAGACCGTTAGGAACAATCCATACAAGAGTCAAGCATGTCACCCAGAAAACATTGACCAATCGCTTCCATTTGCGTGCTGATTTGGTAAGGGGTAGGTTTTCCCAGATGATATCGCTTGGCCGCGGCGCAAGAGTAATACTGGTGCCCTCGGGGCGCTTGCGGCGAGCGTTCCATGCCACGGAATGAGCGTGCTCGATGTTGTCCCAACTGGCAAAGCCGTAGGGCATTGCGTTCCGACGATCAATCGAGGCACGTCCATGCTTGATTTCCTCCTCCAATACGCGAATCCGGAGAGATAGATAATCGATCGCATCCACTCTACTGCCGGGAAGTTGGTGACGTTGTCGGCGAGGAGGGCGTAGAGTAGGTCTTTTCGCGGGTAGTCGGTCCGGATTCTTGAGGTACTTGGCCAAAACGGACTCGAGTTCTCGGACGACCTCTTCATGCTCTTTGATGATCCGGGGTAAATCTCTGACATTACGACCAATCGCAGCTCGGGGGAGAGCCGCGGTTGGATTGACCTTGTCGGTAAGCCGCAGGATACCTTCGTCGGTACGACTATTGAGAGGGATATCCGTGATCATCAAGGTTCTGGCATGCATACTGCGCTGGTAATCAGAGCTTTGGAAATATTGCCGTCGCAGGTTCCGTACAACGCGATAGTTCTTCCATAAAAAGAAGACAACAATGAGGTCAAAAGCCCAGGCGCATACTACCTGACTCCAGATGGCCATGGGGTTGGTGATGTTGAGGGGTGTCATCATACTAAAGGCGGCAGTCGCCGATGAGCCAGTAGACCCCTTGCTTTGTGTGATATTGACCGGTATCATGACGAGGCAGCCGATAATGCTGAGAAAGACGAAGATGTTGCGGCACATTGTTGTAAAGCGGAGAAAGATTACGGCGTCCAGGCCGACTGTCTCGATCAGCTGTGATTCCCGTGTCTGAATGACCGGTTTGACCCAGGCGAAGAAGCCCTTGCCCACCGGGGGTGGAGCGTGTTTAAGGTCTGCATGTTTTACTTTGGGCGCATATACAAGCGAGTGACGGGGTCGAACAAGGGAGAAGAGGAGAGTGAGGAGAACAGTGACGCCGATCGAGGTGCCGAGCGAAGCCCAAATAGCGGTACCTGCAAACTGTTGCCCGTCAGCATAGTGTTCTCTCTCCCAATACAATTTGAACTTACTGCAGAGCGAAATGGGTTCGAAATAAGCTGGAGGAAAGTATCCGTCCCATCCGCGCGAACTTGCAAACTCAAGTGATGTAGATCCATTACGTCAAAGCAGAAACGAGTGGCGATCCGGCATGGACGAGTGGCCGGAGGAAATCAAGTGCCCAGCATTCAAATGAAAGGAATAGATCCAAATGAGGGGGGGGGGCGGGAGATTCTAAAAGAGATGGGAAACGGAGCGGAAAACCGAGCGGAGGTGAGACACAGATATTGCGCACGCATGAAAGAAAAAACAAGACTCTGTTTGGTCTGGGCTGGTTATTATTAGAATTGGGTCATTGGAGTCATTGGTTTCTTGGCCAGCTTAGCGTCGCTGATCTCCGCCGTTAGAAGAGGGAGCCACCACGAGCCGCTTTTCTTCAATTGAAGCCCTCATATCGAATACAATCGATGTCGTATCCACGGTTCGGGAGATCAGATTTTGCGTCAACATAAATCGGCGTTCCCTGTGGCGCCCCGACAAATTTCAACTCCTCGCCGACCCATGTATCATTGGCAGTCCACCAGCCTGCGCGAAGTGGCACACCAATCAGTTGCCCGAAGTAGAAACAATCTGGAACATTGCGATTGTTGGGCCCAAGGTACCACTGGCACAACTTTGGAAGACAGGAACTCATGTAGGTACATTGTGCCACCCGTCGGCTTGTGTTCTCCAGGGCTTACGGTTCAACCGTTTGAGGGGTTTATCTTCTGTTTGTTGCCTGAGGCAAATATTGATGCCTGAATACATCTACAACCTCATGGGCCCTGGTTGGCAAGACAGCGCAAGTGAATGAGTTTGGACTACGTTTCTCGTACTTCAAGACAACTATAGGAATCTTCTGTCCATGGGCAATTTAAAACTTACAGTACGCAATTTGGTAACCTCTTTTAAGGTCAATCTAATGTCCGTGGCTTACTGCTCGATTCCTCCCCTTTAAACATTCCATGAAGGTTGTAGTAGCAACACAACCAGAAACGGAGATGAAGAAGCCCCACTAGGGAGTTGATAATATATGAAATGCTACCCTTGAGTAAATCCCCATTCGTTGACCCATTATCCAGGGGTATTGTGGAGAGGGCCACGAGGCTCCCGCGCGGGCAAGAGCAGTGACCAGTCTCAACATCCCATGAATGATGTTTAACACTTGAAGGTTGAGAACATGTCCAATTTTCTCTCATTGTGCGTGCAGGTGGTCGACTGCGACCTGGGAGTGTGACCGCAGATATCATATCATGTTATAGCACAATATGTTGTACTAGGAGGGTATGGTATCAGCCATACATAGGGCCTTCGGTGGGAAAAGTGTAGCAAGGGAGCTAGTAGGCGTACTTTGAGCCTTTATAAATAGAATTCCTGTTGGTAGGTTCAAACTGGACGCAAGAGTCCTGAGGGATTGAATCATAAAAAATAGATTGTGTGAGGATTTTTCTCGTTATATATAGATTCAGTCATGCGACAATTTTGAACAAACTATGACGAAAAGAAAAAGAACCTCCTCACCTTGGCAGATGGCCGCAAGCTCAACTAATCTGTTCGCTTAGTATTTTGAGCCCATTAGTTGTTCGAAGACTGAATCCCGTTAGTCTGACAAGAGCAGCTGAGTGGGGCAGCGATCGCGAAGCTTCATGCCACAAACCGAGTTCTGACAACACACACTCAAGGCTGATTACAGGGATAAAATGTCTTTTTGCAAGACTGGCGAGAAGTTAGGAATCCCGATTCTGATCCATGCATTTCCTCTCTAACTTTGGCTTCAGCCGCAACAACCACCCAATAATGCAAGAACGAGTTCCCACCTTCTACGGTCTACGGCCGATGGTCTATGCACTACCGCATGTGTCATTCCTCTTGAAGAAAAACCTACGTAGCTCTGAAATTGGATTCAATTCTTCCGCTTCTATCCAGAGCTTTAACAACCCCCTTGCCCTGACGCAGTCCACGCCGTGGGATTGGTGCTTGAGTGGACATGTCCAGCCGAAGAACTCCGAACTCCAGGAAGTGGCTAGTAATTGAGAAGAAGATACAAAGGTTTTGTCTGCGCGTAAGATGATTTTGTCTTGGTTGACACATGAAGGAGAACGCGTTGTCTAAATGCGTGTTTCGCATATTTCCACAAGGTATCATCTATCAAACGTAGTTGGTGAGCGAACTCCCCAAGTTTTGCTCATTTTGGGCAAGTCATGATTGTGATTTTGGCACCGACCAAGTGAACTTGTGCTAACGACTCATATCAGTAGGCTTTTCTGTATGCTTTTTGATTGGTCTATAGCCAATACGCTTGTGGGCTTGAACTACACAAGGATGCGATGTACTTTATACATCTGTTTGTCAACGTTGTGAATCGTGGATGGTATTATTCGCTATTTACATCATGATGTCATCAAAAGACAGGAATTGTGTCTAGATGGTTTACGGAACAAGTAGTTCGGGAAGTTCTCCCACTTTTAGTTCTTGGCAGCCTCTGAAACATTGTTAGCACTATTTTCTGAGCAGCTTTGCCCGGCACTTTTGGCTTACCCTTGTGGACATCGGCCTTGGTGTTGTGGGAAAGCTCATCCTTCTTGTCGACAAGTGCGTCCTTCGCGGCGCTGGCACGGGTGGAGACGTTGGCATCGCTGCTCTTAGCGACGTTCTTGTTGGCCTCCTTGGAAGCCTCAGCCCCGAGGCCCTGGATGGATTCAGCGACATAGTTAACGGCTTGCTGTATTGTTTTTGGTTAGTCAATGTCAAGGTCAGTACCAATAGAAATTGGTTGATCACGAACCTTGGCGGTCTCCATTGTGAAAGTGGGAATTGAAAAATGTGATTTCGACAGTGATTGTTTGTAAGTCTGTAAGACTGCGTTGTGATGAAGAAAAGAGATACACTTCTGGGAAAGAAAAGGCGATATTTATACTGTTCTGGGGTCCCATCTGGGGCAGGGGCAATGATGTCATGACGTCATCTATGAAAGCGTACCTAGCGGGAACAGCCTAGTTGCCAACCTCAGGTCACGGAGTGCATCGCCAAGTGTAGACATCCAATATCATAAAATCCTGGAAGCTTGGTAGCTGTAACTCCAGATCGTTCCACAGTTTACAGTTTCTAATTTTCTGACATACCTTTTGTGAGCGTCCTGACATCACCAGTTGGATACAGGCGGGGAGACAGATGATACAGATCTAAATCTACAAATTTTACACTACACCACACGCGTGAATATCATTAACAGTTCTTGTAGACACATCTAGCTCGTACCTGCTCTCTTCTTCCACAGGCCACTTTTCAATTTGATGAGGCCATTCCACATATCCCCCCAGACTGTTGACCCACCAACCTTGGAATCTGGTTGCATGACGTAGGAACACCTTTTACTCCAATGCAACAGCACAGTTGGAGTAGATTCTAAGGTTCCATGGAATGTTGCAATGTCATGATTGAGATTTAGGGAAAATAAACGATGACTTCCGATTGAGGCAAATTGAACCCAACGTGGCACCCAATAATTGCAACAAGAAAATGTCAACCTGAATTCACCAAGTTAAAACAACGTTCCCGAACAAAAGCCATCTTGAGGTTAACTTCCATGGTCAGCATAGACGCGGGGGTTGAACACCAGGCCTGCATGGGCCTGGTCTATGCAGGTCACAACTAGCGCCTAGCCTTTTGGATGGGGCCTATGGCGTAGTTCATCTCTTGCTCTAACCCTTGTCTTGTCGAGACCTTGGGGCCTTACCCGGTATCTGAATCCACCAATGAGAATGAAATATGAATTCCACCTATAGCCCTCATTCTCGGCAGTTGTTCTTGCCCGGACCGCTAGGATTTCGAAGCTAGCGGGAATTGGAATAATGTGTTCAATCTTAGTGGGAAGTTGCTAAAATTCTGTTAGGGAAATAACCAGCGATGCTAGCATTCAAGGTTGAGGCCCCAAAGCCGCAAGACAAGGTAGGCACACAGGTAGTTGGGATTTTCGTGCTGTCACCAGATTAATTTTATTCGGGACAGACAGTATTTATTGTATTTGGTCCTCCAAGGCCTGTCCGCCGTCATGGAATAGATTTTACAAGGAATGGAATTTCCACGACAGCTTGTGTTCACACGATAACGGTTGGTCTTGCAAGGCCCGCGTCACCTCTACTGGCACACGATTCTCCTTCACAAATCGGCCATGAAATTCCTTTTCACCAAGATGCTCTGTCTCGACAGTCTCCTTTCGTAATGCATATATTGGCAACGCACCCAACAACTATCCAGCCTGATATAACGACGAAGAATCGCTGTTCAATGATCGCCCCACCTCTCCTTCTGCAGTGTGGCACGTTCGTGTCCGACTTGATCGACCAGGGAATCTATTAAACTCCCGAAGAGCCATCTGTCCCAGATGAAATTCGATGGAGAATCCAATTCGGGCGCATCGATAAGTTGCCAAACAGCATCCCGATCCGGTTTTGCGGCGTCTATTGGAACTGTTCGTCATTCCACAAAAGGAACTCCCAGCACAGAGCCTATCTTTCATAAACTGGGGTGTCAAATAAGCGCCGATAGGTCTGTAATTTGCAATCATGTGCCTATGCAAATAGTGTCCTGGTATCATCTCACGGAAGACCGTCGCACGGGAGAAATGGATGTTGTTCCCGTGTATCCTCATCAGCTTGGCTTCATGAACCACCTGGTCGGTTGGATTTGAAGTGATGATGCTCTCACCTCTAAGGAAGAAAGAGGTTACTCTCTGGCGCTTGGGAGGCATCATAAATATCTGCCAGTTCTCTTTGGCAATCGGTGGACGTTGACGAGTTAGTGATCTTCGACAAATGAGATCGCTTCCTTCGTGAAATCTTACAACTCGATTTTTTTTCAGGCTCGAGAAAGTAATTCTTGACTTCTTCCAGGGCCTGCTTCTAGTCGCCCCCGAACCCTATGCTGCGCGATGCCTGAGTTCACCAACCTGTCATTTGTACTCTTTCTCACCGATTGAGATTAGCTCTTCCGATGTGCAGGCAATCATTTCGCCTAAGAGCTTGCTAATAAATCCCTCTTGACCGATAGGATCACTCACTATCGTATTTTCGTTGCCTAGGCGGATACCGGCCAAATTCTCTCGAACACTTGCTGGAACGTCTTTCAGGCCCTTGTCCAAAACCCCGTATGGTGCGACACCCACCAGGTGAATGAAGGATCATGTCTTTATAGAGTTCGAACCATTCTTTCGGGTGCAATGATTTTGTTTTCCTCGCCTCCATAACGCAACTGTTTTCTCCCTCCGGATCTTGGTCGTGTCGTTCTTGACCATGTCGATCACGGCTGCGATTTGCACCCTTAAGTCACTACATCGGATGGTGTATCCGACTCTATACCACATGTCGCCAGTCAGTCCGAATGGTTGATATTTGGTCATGTCGTACGTGATACCTTAGCCTATAAATTTGCATTGTCTTTCTCCGCGGTTATACCCAAAGCAGTACTTTGTTTTCTTGACGGGACGGTTCCCTACGGTGGGTGGTCCAAGGGTTAGCTAGGGGTAATGTTTGAATGCGGGGGGAAATAACCAAAAGCTACATTGTGCTTAGAGGAATGCCTGTTTTTTTTTAGGGACTGGACTGAAAAGGGGACCAGCCCGGGTAGAACTTGTCTAGATGCATGCCTACATGGGTACATAAAAATAGCCATTGCCAAGTTGACCTAAGAAAAACCAAGCTCAATTGAGGCCTTTATGAGGCAGTCAACACAGGTGACCAGGAAAAGACTGCCTAGTTAGAAAAGACTCTCGCCCAGGATTCTCAATCCGAGTCTGTTCGTGCCGCGGTCGCAATACAGATGGTGGAAAAAGTGCAAACAACGTGCGTGCCTGAGTGATGGGCGTGCTTTTTACTACTATTGCATCAGGAGCCCTGCTATTTTTTCCCCCACTATCGTCTTGCAGTTGCTGGTCTACCTGATGGGTTGCTTGTGGGCCAAGACAATGCCGAATCGGAAATTCTGTGCATTTCAAGTGGAATGAATATTGAATACCGGCCCTTCCACGATCAAAGAGCATGCGATTGTTAAAATAAGATCTTGGAGGTTGATTTTCAAATCCTAACAAAGCTGACCTTTCCCTATGGATTCTGGCAAAGTCGGTGGATATTGGTCATATGCCTTTAAGATCAATCCTAAGCAACTTGTAGTGTGTCGATTGGCTACGCTTATTGTACAGATGCCCTCTTGGAATTGAAAGAAAAGTGCAAGCAATATTCCTCGTGCAGAATCAGTGTCTGTCTAACACAATCTCTCAGCACTCTAAGATATGGAACTGGGATGGGGGTTCCAACTGTCATTCGCTTTGAGCAGTCAGGTAGTTGACATGTCACTGGCAGGCATTTTCCGCCGTTTCCTCGTCTGGAAGGTTGGATCTTTCGCTGCCAAGGCCTGCTGCTATGATGCGACAGAGTCAATTTGCAAACACTTCCTTGTTTTATGCTCTTCACGGCTGGAGCTCCTCGGATGAATCAGAGAGCCATGGATGGAGCATCTCACGCTACCAATATTTTCTAAATGTGACAATTGGGGCTTTGGTCTGATATCGGTAAGGCTCTCTTGTTCCAATCTGAACTGCATATGCTAATATCCTTGAACTGCGGGAGTCATATGGCAATAACTATCTATTTTTGCTATTGTCACCTGTGAGGTCCCGTTGACTCGTTTTATTCCTGAATTGCGCTTACTCTTCTTGTCTGTAGGGATCCGACCCAACATTGTGTTTTTGAACCAGTGGTTCGGAGGCTTTATAGAATTCTCGCTCATTCCCATCACATTTGACTGGATGGAAGATTTGTAGTTCCTCTCAATCAGATAACGGATGAAAGGATGTCAAGGCTGATTATCAACAGTTACGTTTCTGCACATCTCGGAGATCCACTCTTAGCACCGGTCCACGCTCTTGTCAATGTACCTTAATCGGGCTTGTGATTTTTGTGATTATAACTACAATCGGGGTCTCTTACTATGGTGCATTGTATGTTGTGATATTTCGCCAGACTCTTTTAGGGCTGACAGTAATACAGGTACTCTGCCTATCTCCTTACCAACACATCCAGCACCCATCACAACACGCAAAATACCTATAATGTAACCAGAATCTTAGGTTCTAGTTTCTCTTTTGATGAGTGAAAATACAAAGCATACTCACCCACGTTCTTGGCTCCAACTTTTGCCTTGAATTATGGGCTGTCGTTTGCAGCCCTTGCAGCAGCCATTGTACAGGTGATTCCCTTCTACCGAAAGGAGATATGGCATCAATTCATGGCTTCTCAGGGGCAGGAACCTGACATCCATCTCACCATGATGAGTAAGTATAGAAAGGCATCTGACTGGTGGTATGCGGCACTATTCCTGTTCTCGACCGCGTTAGGGCTTGCAGGTATTCTGGCATATGATTCTTAACTTCCTTGTGTCTGATGATCAAACCTGACCATACATATGTTGGGGCTTTTTTGTCTCGATCATCCTAACAATGGTTTTCATAGTGTGTTATGCCACCACGAAATGGGGGTACTGCTGACACAAAAACCAGATTATTACTTCATGGTTCTTGCCATCTCCAACATTACGCTTTGCACGTGCTGTCCAAAGCCTCTTATGTGCGTGAAACGCTAATTTCAATAGCGCTCAATGTTCTACCACCGTTCTTGACAGATTTCCTGATTCCAGGAAAGCCGATTGGGGTCATGGTATTAAAAACTCTTTAGCACCATCACCTTGGGACAAGCGCCAGGATCTATCCTCTCTCTCTGAAATGGACGCTGACCTCATAAAACTTCA